GCCCACATTCTGCACGTAACATGTCTCAGGAATGGGCTTGGACTTGGGGCTCCTACTTGCAGATAATAAATCAGTGTTTAATGTAATGGAACTTAATGTGTCACACCGAACACTTGAGTGGACAGACTAGGGGTACGAGCAAAAGCACAATACAACTATAAAGCCAAGCAATCGAAATCGTGCAGACAGTAGAAAGATAAATGCGTAATAATGAAAATGTAATTTCTGAAAATTAAATTTAAATCAACTGAAAATTTAGTTAAATTTTTGTAAATATTTTGTACCAGATTTTGTTGAAGAAATCTATATAAATATTAAAGATTGAAAATAATTGCCTAACATTAAGATTTAAAGTATTATTTTTAATGTTAAATATTTAGTTATTTAACATGTGAAGAAATCGCCAAAAATCCGCTGCCAAAAATATTGTGTAATTAATTTTGTTGAAGAAATCTATATACACAATAAAGATTTAAAATAATTGCATTATATTAAGATTTTAAGTATTATTTTTAATGTTAAATATTTAGTTATTTAACATGAGAAGAAATCCCCAAAAATCCGCTGCCAAAATAAAATCAACACCAAGAACACGTGTATAACTTTTCGCGAAAACTGCCTGTCAAGCGTTTAACATGCCACAAACTTTTCGTACAACTTTTCGCACAGTTAAGCAAAACGCGTGGAAAACAACTGCCACCCGACACTTTTCACGCGCTTAGAGAGAGAGAGAGTAAATGCAGCTTCACTACGTCAATATATGTACTAGGAGAAGACTATGCCATCCTTTTAGCTAACTCCCTGTGAAAGCCCTTTGCCAAACAACAATTGTTGGCTCGCAGCTGATCGAAGGAAATGCGCGCCACAAGAGCGCTATTAAAATAAAACGTGCTCAAAGCGCTGAGCCTTCATACCAGGATGCCCCTGGATCCACCAGGATTGTACGCACTCCAAAGTCAACAGCAAAACGGAGCAAAAGAAGAAAAAAGCGTCGCGACAACAATGGGAAAACCAAGGAAAAGCCAAGGCAAACAGACAGCAGACAGCAGACAGAAGAAAGGGAGGAAGGGAGGAAGGGAGGAAGGACTAGGCGGATGGCAGTCGCATTCGAGTAAAGCTACCATGGAAATGGTAGATTTCGATGCCACGTGTCGTTTGGCTCCTTATTTTCGGTGTTCAAATCACGTAGCAGACATTTTCGTTGCATGTTGCGTATACGCCGCGTGGGACAAGAATATACAGCATAACGCTTATTAGCTCTGGGAGGGTTTTTGGTAATACAGTGGGAATATACGAGTGAGAGCCCACGAGTACCATTTTTCAGCTAATGTCTTTTTAAGCGGCATTTGGAGCGGCTGGCTTTCCTCTATTCTGTTCCCATTTTCAATTTGCAATTTGTGTGTTTTGAAGATGCTGAAGATGCTGTCTGTTGTCGCTCGTATTGTTGCCATGCGAATCATTAACGCTGAGCACTCAATTAGCTAATTATGCAAACCCAAATGCCCAAGAGATGCCACGTGGAGGGCGCACAATGCTGATGACTCGCATGATGGGTGGCAGCTTCATTAGCGCCCACAGAGAGGCGCACACAATAAGCAAGGAGTTAAATTTATTGGTTTTAAGAATATTTCACGCACATAGTGTAGGGGGGTACAAGAATTACAAAACTCCGCACTAATTAGTTCGTTTTATCTTTTTTTTTTATTCCGCTTTCGTGATTTTTCAGCCGCTCATATTCCAACCAAAAGTCCAGCCTCGATCACGATCTCCGCTTCCTCCTCAATCGATATTATTTCTACCATATATTCTAATATATTCTACTCGCAACTCCACTGCATGTATCGAGTTGGTGAACGATACCTACGCGCGCTCCTTAATATTTGAATGATGTCTCTCTAAGTATTTACAGTACTCTACTTATATTACTACAATAGAATAGAGGATTTTTATAGAAATCTTTAGTAAAATATCTGGAAACATTCCTAGAGTTGGCCCTGCTGAAGGCATGCATTTTGCATGGATTTTTAATCAGTTTTACTTGTTTTTTTATTTATTTCATTTTATCCCAGAAGAAGTATATTTGTGGGAAATAAAATTCAACCTGAAAGCCCTAAAAGAAACCTGTGAAATTAAGGAAATTCTTTCATTTAGCTTTTCCCTTAAGCGCAGTCCTCTTGCAACCGTTTTTCCAAGTGTATAAGATTAATATATCAGGCAATAATGTACGATACACCAGCACAAGGCCAAGTGGTAAAAAAGTAAACTGTCATATATCATAAAGGACGATGGCAAAGCCATGTTGACTTATTAAGTGCCAGCCACCGCTGTTTTTTTTTTTCATCTGCAAAGGGGTTCGGTTCCCTTTTTATTCTCACTTCTCTCTCTCTCTTGTGTACTTTGGCAGGCTGTCACTTTGCGTTTGTTGTTGCTGTGACCCTGCGGGTTGTCGCTCTCCCACATATATAGTCGTAGCACTCCCAGTGCTCGTACATCTATGCAAATGGCAAAAGAAAGCAGTCAAAGTGGTTTCTGACTCTGCGTCTGGCATCTGACGCCCCGAGCAGAGCACAATTGTTCGTCCCACAAGCTTGTGCCCATCCATCATGTGTTGTCCTGAGAGTCCACAGCAGTGTGTACCCTGGCAAGTGATGCATTCAATTTGTCATTAGTGTCACGAACACCTAAGCCAGTGCACCTTCATGGGGCAATAGTTGTTAGGGATAAACCAAGGGGATGAACCGTTAGTGGGTACTTAGGTTGAAGGAAACTTAAAGGTTATTTTTATTTATTATGGAACGCGTATTTAAATATTTTCTAGCAGTTTCCCAAACATACAAAGAGAGTGCCATAAAACAGAGCCAAGCCTTTCTATATCATCCTGGCAGTGTCTTCTTTCAAACAAATTCTGCAGTCTTTTTTCCGCATCATATCATTAGCCTAAGCTGCTCCTCAGCGAAAGCATTAATTCTTTGCGAATATGTCGATCTATCATGTCATCTTATTGCTCAGAATTTATAATATTTTGCCGCTCATTCATATCGGATTTAAGTAAACCTTTGCTTGATAGAATGGATTTTTAAATTTGATTTAACGCTGCAGGACATCCATCTCTTCTTATTGGGATGGCTGTGAATACTCGTTAGGACGGCTCTGAACGCATCCAACGTAATATGATGAGTCGTTTGTGTTGTGCCCTTTGTGCTTGAAACTCAAAACAGAAATAGCCAAATCCACTCACTTTATCCAGATAAAATAATCTAATTGAATTACAGTTAGGAAAACTGTTATATTTTAAAGCAAAACTATTCTGAATAGATATCCCAGATAGTCTTAGGTTCCACTCATTCACCTAACACATCCTCCCCTTCAATCAGGTATACCCCAACATCTAATAGTCATGCCAGCTAAAAGCTAACTTAATCCTAAGGCATCCCAGCTAATTCAGTGCTGACGCTGGAACTTGTTTACGCCGTTTGGACCAACCCCCCCACATGGCGTTGGCGTTGGCGTGGGCTCTGCTCCTGATGACGTCGCTCTGCCCACCCACACACACAAACACATCGATGGATAAGGTTTGAAAAATATATATTTCTTTGCCATTTCCATTACCTATTTTCTCTTTGCCTCCTGGCCTCCAGGTCTCACAGACGTGGGCTGTGGGGCCATAGGAGGGCATGGGAAATGTGTCTTCTGGGGACATTTCTGTGACATCTTTGCCTGCTTGCAAATGTATGCAAAACGATTGTCGTATCGTAGCACTTGCCCCGACATTGATTGACGTGGAAATCAAAAGTTGGCTAAATGCAGCTCAAGTGGAAAATCTCGAGGGGGAAATCAGGGTGCGTGATTGTGCATGTGCATATCGGAGTTGAATATATTACAATCAGGACCAATCATGAGCTATAATCTGTAACTGGTGCATAAAAATCTGATTAAATTTACAGGAAACGCCGATATCTACGTCGCAGTCTTCCGAATGGCTGGAGGTTCCTCCTGAAAACCCAGCAGAGGGATGCGAATGAAAAACTAATTGACAAACGCCTGTGCCTGGCCCTGTGCCTCGTAGGACTAGAACTGGTCTTGGTGGTGGCGGTGTAGCCCTTATAGTAAGCCTGAAAATCAGGTTACACGACTGGGAAAAGACAGAGCGCTTTTCAATTGCGCAACGTTGTCCTCGGAATTGCTTACTAATTAGTGTTTATTGTTTCCATCTGGGCTAAAGGTGTGGGCTAATTGCGATTATCGCTGAATGCGTGGGTGGGTGTAAGGGCGTGTGTATGGCTTCCTGTGGGGAACTGTTTGGGTCTGAAGTTCGGCAATTTAATGCTGTCTGGGATTTGATGTCATTTTGTAAAGGGTTCTACCAGGAAATATGAAACTAAAGGGATTTTTTGATAGGTAGAGCGAGCGCTCTGCCGAAGGAAGAGATGTGTCCTATGAAAAGATTATTAAATTTATTTAATAACCCGCGGGGCCCGCCCCCCCCCCGCGCCCCGCCCCGCGCCGCCCCCCGCCGCCCCACCCCCCCCCCAGTCAAATCGCGGGCGCCGTAGAACGTAAAACCGCGATGCCCGCCCCCCCACCCCCCCCCCCCCCCCCATTCCTCTCGCACACTCTCCCCTTGCGGGGGTGGTCCCGAACTACAAATATACTGATGGGTACGGGCCCCGCCCCCCTTTCGTTTTAATTTAAATTTTGTAAATCTTGTAATTTTTTGTAAATATTAATGCAGTAATGCAGCAAATTTTTACTCTGTTTGAGAGTCTTAGAGCTAAATTTATATGTATTAAAGAAACCAAAAGAACCGCAAATAATATTCTAATTAAATCCAATGTGTTTTTTGGTACATTTGTTCGACTGTAAAACACAAAACTTTACTTCTTGTTTATTTATTTATTCACCAAAGGAATTTTAGAAATAAAATAAAAATCATTTAATGGTTCTTTGATCTATAAGGCATTCCATACTGCAACCCCAGATAAAAGCAAACTTCCACTTACCTCTCAGTGAACTCTGCAACTTGCTTATCTCACTTTAATACCTAAACTTCGCCTGTTAACACTTTAAGTCAGACGCGACAGACCGTTTTAGTTTTTTTTTTTTCGTTTCTTGTTTTGCTTTCTATTTTTTATGGAGCTCAAGGAGCAATCAAACCGAAATCCTTGAGGGTCGAGCAGCAATTGAAGCGTAATTATTTGCTACGGCGCATTTCCCGTGTGGCGTGGCGTCGGCGTCGTTGTCGGCGTCGTTGCTGCTCAAATGGCCAGAACGGCGGCCTGGACGGACACCGGAAAGCGGGCCAAAAGCGTAACGTAACGTTTTAGTTGGCACTGGGTCAGTAGAGCAGCGGGATATATTAGTTGTTGTTGCTGCTTTTTTTTGTTATTGGTTTTGTCCTGGTTGTCTGAGCCAAGTAATCAGAATAATTACATGGCCCTAATGGCAACAGGGAACTTGCTCATTTTACAGTTGCAAATAAATTGGACGAGGAAAAGCAGTGCACTGGGAAGGGGGACAGCGACAGCGACAGAGAGAGGACAGGCCTTCTTTTATAAGCAAATTGCGTGTTCATTGCTCAAGGTCGTAGGTAGAGGATATTTTTGTGGATCCCTCCTACCCATTAAGAACAAATATTCTACTTTCTAGTTTTTCGATTAGTTTTGTTTTTCTTTTGTGGTTACTCAACTAAATAATAATAAAAACGGGACAGAATAAGGCTAGGATTTGGGGTGCGGTTGATACCCTTTTGGATGAGTGGTTGATATGGCATAAGTATTTGAGGATACAGTGATACGATTATTACGATTTGGCATTAGCCAAAAAGAAGAAATTGTTCCAGGTTTCAGCCTTATGTCTACAAAAGCTAGGGCTACAGACTAGGCATGGATCGACGCTACAAAAATCTGGTCAGGTAAATATACCCTCTGATGGAGAGTATCACAAAATAGCCAAAAATACAATCAAAACACCGTCTGAGTCTAGAGATGGCTGTGGCAGTTAAAATAGAGCTGGCGCCTCACGCACACTCACGCAGTGCGGCATCACTTGTTGCTACACTATGTGGTGTACCGGGAAAATGTCGCTTAATTGCAAAACTTGTTGTTTATAAAAGCTATCTAAACATATCTATCTTCCATATTTCTCACATTTCAGTTAACAGTCTACGGCCCATGCGGCACATCTCTAGGCTGGACGGACGCCATATGCCGGCAAACCAAACAACCGCAACAACAACAAACCGCAAACAACAAAATTACCCACACCACGGCACGCCGTTTAACACAAAAAGTTATCAACAAATACAGATTGTTGTAGGAATATGCAGCGTACCGGCAAATATTTACGTCTTGTCAATCGCGGTGATGTGGTTCATGCGCGGGCACAACAGCTTCGTTCGAAAGGGCGGAAAATAATGGGTGGACAGTGGAAAAATGCAGATGTTTGCCGCCACCAAACACACACATACATGTATATGCACTGCCAGAGTTAAATTTCAATGTATCGATTGTTGTTTGAATTGTAGTTTGGCGCCCACAGTTAAAACTTGCATTTCTGTATGAACTCAAGCAAAGTATGTACCAAAAACAGTTTATTTATACCAAACCACCATAATAAATCAATGGAAAATTTCTAAAAATACATTATCTATGCTTTAATTATGCATTTTGAAATAAAACGCCGATATCTTCCGCTTATCGCACTAAACTACCGATATTTTTATGTGCAGCGATAGATAGATAAATAGGTCGGTATATCTGATATAACAACATGCAAAACAGAAAAATCGTGTTTAATACCCTGAAATATCCTGAATACGCAAAGAAATAGGAAAATATAGCAGCCAGTCGAAAAAAACTATCCAAAATTATATATCGATACATTGACGTATCGACATATGTACCATCCCTGGCAAAGATAGCTCGATTTTTATGTTGCTTTTCCAACAAATTTGTTTGAATTTTAGCCAATAAAACGTGTAATTAGTAACCAACACAAGCAACACTCGGTGGAAAAATGTTCGGGGGCAATGCAGTGATTAGCGTTTGAACGCAAACGGGCGGTGAAAAAGCGTGGGCGAGGAAAATTGTGTAGTGAAAAAAAAGTGCGCGTGTGGAGTGAAGAATACAACGCTGAAAAGTAGCCGCTGCGCTGCGCCTGCTGCCTGCCTGTGGACAGACTCGACCCGACCCCCTCGAGAACGAAACGTTGTAAACAATTGTATTTGCGTGATTTGCCACCACCATCATCCCCCGTATATCGTGTTACAGTGTAATGTGCGCTGAGTGCTGAGAACAAGTAATATGGCCCAAATGAGCAGCAACGAACCCTTTGACGATGAGCTCTTTGAGACGCGACTGGAGGCGCTGAAGGACACACAGGAGGGTATACAGCAGATGTCGAACTGGTGCCTGCAGCACCGCACCAACCACAAGAAGATCATCCAGTCATGGCTGAATGTATTCAAGAGAGGTAAGAGAGCCGGGTCATGCAAGTAATCCCAGAGCTAATCTGTTCCTCATCCTTTAGTGCGTGTGGACCATCGATTGGTGCTGTTCTATCTGGCCAACGATGTCATACAGTATAGCAAGCGGAAGCGATACGAATTCGTGGAATGCTGGGCCACAGCCCTACAAAGAGCCACCACCATGGTGCGGTAAGTAAACAGAAAGGACTGCCAAAAGTCACAAGATACTGAATACCCTCCTCTACGGACAGTGATGAACGCGTCAAGGATAAGATTTTACGCATATTCAAGATCTGGGAGCAGCGTGAAATCTACAATGAGGAATATCTGAGCGATCTGAGTGGTCTGCTTAATATCACGCCGCCAAAGAAATCGCAAGTCGATGCCAGCGACGAGTTCCAGAATGCCACGCTCATTGCCCAGGTGCGCGAGTGCGTGGAACTGGCGGAGGCCACCGACAAGAGCATGAAGAAGCTACCAAAGCCGCCGCATCTGGAGATCGAGACCATCAAGCAGCAGCTCAAGGACAAGAGCCATTCGGGCGATATTGAAAAGGAAGTGGAACGCTGCGTGGCCTTCATAAATGCCTACAACAAGAATTTGCAAAACGAAATCAAGAGCCGCAAGGCGGTGCTGACCAGCGTCGAGGCGGCCAAAAAGTTCTACGAGCATCAAGGCAGGGAGGTTAAGGTGGTGTCCAGTGTAAGTCTCTTGGAACAGTGCTAACCCATATCCGATCTCGCTCTCTAAGCTGTGGCTCTTCTTTTTTTTTAGGCCTATAAAAGTTTTGGCACACGCATAAAGATTGTGAAAAGGAAGCTGGATGAGACCATACCCACGCTGCTAAGTCCCATACCCTCGCCGGACATCAATGCACCATCGCCCGAGCGTGATGCAGATCTCCAGCTGCCCGACGAGACAACTCCGCCATTGGGATTGGTAAGGAAACCCCAAAGAAACTTCCAGCAGATCGGGTAATGCATTAGTTTCTTCTTCGGCTTTGCAGAATATGTTCAGCGGCGGATTGAATGGCTTCTCTAGCTATTTGGACAGCGGCAAGCTCCCTTTCGACATCAATGACTTCAAGCGGGACTCGAAGGATCTGGGTAGCGCCATTGAGGTGATTGGCTCGCGTTCGGATGATGAGGCCTATGCGCCGAGTGCCAATTTCTACAAGCCCGAGCCCATCTCCAGCTACAGCAGCAACAACAGCAGCAGCGGTGGCGGTGGCAACAACAGCTCCATACCTGGCTTGGGCGGCGGTGGAGGAGGAGGTGGCAACGGCGCTGCTGGCGGGGAATACAATCCCAATCAATCGCAGTTTGACAGTCCATTGGCAGCGCCTCCGATTTTCGGTTCGAACAACCAGGAACAGTATGTGCCCCCGCTGCCCTCGCATCATGGCTATGGCGGCAATGGTGGCGGTGGTCAGGATGCACAATATACGCCCGCTCCCATGCCTCCACCACCGTTGCCGCCGTCCCTTGGATCGGCTGGCGGCGGCGGTGGCGGTAGTGGAGATGACTTCAACAACACCTGGAACATGAGCATGTCGTGGACGCCGCTGGACACCAGTCTGAACAGCAGTGGGGCCAGCTCCTCCGCCTATAATCCGCAGTCCACGCCGCACTCTCCGCCACATTTTGAGCGCAAGGCCAGCGTCGCACCGCCAGAGTACAGCGAGCATCTGCACAATAATGCCGCAGCGCTGGGCGCCGAGGATGTGGATCATCGCACGCTCCAGCTGCCGCCGGCCTTCAATTTCGGTGCCAAGCTGGGTCTCAGCCAGGACAAGACACGCCAGCTGGTGGACATAGATCATAGGAATCTGATATCCCTCACCGGTTCCCCCGGTGGTGCAGATAAGGTACACGAATCCTCTTGCCAGTCAAAGAATATCCCGTCATAGTTTTCATATTTGTAGGATTTTGGTGGTGGCGGGGATGTGGACTATCGCATTGTGCCGGGCTCGGCAGATGAGGGCATCATGGCCCCCCCTGGCAATAACTATGCCAAGACCAAGACCAGCTCTCCCCACAAATCCAATGCGAGTAAGTAGCGATAATCTCTTTTGAAATTTCCTTTCCATATTGCAACTTGTTCTTCTTTCAGGCTCCTCATCGGAATCAGATCGTTTGGATGGCGGCACGCGCTATGATCCTGCTGATATGGTCATAGACATGGACATGTCGGACGATGATATCGATGAGTCGCTGCGAGGTAGTCGGGTTTTCTTCGATTTTATATTTTTAAGACATTTGCTGAACTTTTTCCCTATTTCCTGCCCCATTTAGAGCCCAAGGAGGATCTGGAGGAGGCTGAAGCGGATGCCAATGGCGGTTTGACGCCCTCGCGTCCTGTGCTGTTGGAAACGCCCACGGATTTCATGAATCCCTGGGAGTCGAACAACAGTTTTCTGGGCCAGCCCATGCAAGATATGTCCGGGGAGCAGGAGCAACAGCAGCATTCACCGCTCGGCCCGCAGCAACAACAGCAACAGCAGCAGCAGCAGCCATGGAATCAAATGCCTCAAATGCACATAGGAGCGGGTGCACCGCCGCCGCCGCAACCGCCGTATGGACCGCCCTTTCCCTATCAGCGTTTCGGACCGCCCATGAACAGTCCTGACAACATGCAGCAGCGTGGCCGTGGACGAGGTCGGGGCTGGTCGAACCAGGGACCGTATCCGAGGCCACCGTATCAGCGGCCGCCTGGACCCTACGATGGGGGACCCGGACCAGGGCCCAGGCCGTTCTATGCACGCGGCGGCGGCGGGCCTGGAGGCGGTGGTGGCATCGGTGGTCAGATGCGTGGACGTGGGCGCATGCGTGGTAAAGCTTGGATGTAATTACGTTACGTACTCGTATTATAGAACTTCACAACACAAACAGACAACAGACAAAAGAAAGCACGTGCCGTCGCACTGTGTCGCCTTCGTTTTAGTTCGTAGTCCTCTCTCACTTATCTCAACGCGATTTAGTTAAACACCGACGTAAAATGTACAGAACAAACCTCCAAAGGCAACCAACCTGCATGGGAGGGCGGCCCAACAAAATGGCATCCAATATATATCGTGTGTCTATATACTATATATAGTATATGTATATCTTTTAAGACGCTTTAATCGGTTGAGAGGGTTGATCGATCGTTTACTAATTAATAAGACAATTATACAGATTTTAAATTATTGCAAAACCAACCAACCAACCTACCAACCAACCAACCAACCAACCAACCATATAAAAGTGTTTAAGAAACTGTGAAACAACATTTTAGTCTTAAGATCTAAGATTTCTTCCACGTCTCTTTGACCTATCGACATATTGAAAGCAATTTTAACATGCAATACTTGATAGATTTCGCGTTAAAACTTTAAATAAAATTGATATACGAGCTCCGTTGAGTGATTTAATTATGTGCAAAATATGTGGATTCCCTTCCCCCTCCTTCCATGCATCCATTCAGATTTATTCTGAACACTTTTCATTAGCCCACTTTTCCCGGGAGACTGTAAGACAAACACGTAAACCACATGCAAAGACTTTTAAGCCACATCTTTTACAATTAACCCCCTAAGTTTAGAGCGTTGCCTTAGCTACTATATATATATTTATATATGTATATGTATGTATATCATTTAGTTAAATGCGCCATTGCTTCTAGTTCTATATGCTAACGCCCCCACCCTACCGCCTAAGCACATTGTAAATAGCTGTATAATTAGTCCAAAAAAAGAAACACGGAATTCTTAGCTTTGGGTCAAAGCCGCAGTTGTGTATGCTCTTCACTGAATGTTTATCGTAATAATAATCATAAGTGGTCTATATGCATATATACATATATATATATATTTCACATTAATGTTTGATCATGAAAATCAACACACACAAAAAGAAAAGCTAAAAAAAAAATAATTAATTAATATCGTTAAAAGAAATTGCAATAAAGTTTGATTTCTTTACAAATAATATTCACTGGAAACGGTGCAAGCACAGGACCCATAAACGGACTACGGCAAACGCTTTGCAGGACATGACTTTACTTCAGAACCCATTTTTGACTGATCAGCTGTAGCAACGGATCAATGTTCGAGCGTCACTTTTAGCGCATTTCATATTTGGAATTTTTATTTGAACATTAATCCCAGAGGAAAATGTGCAAACAAAAATTTTTAGGACTCTACAAAGTTTTGAATTAAAGTATGAAAATATATTAAAGTATGCAATAAAACAGGGACATTTTTTTTAAGGACCTTCAATTTTTTATAGATGTTTTTTCGTTAGGTTTTTGATGTTAGAATTGACAAAAACGAACCAAAAATTAGTTTAAACATTCAAAAATGACTGAAACCTAATGGAAGATTACCTTAGATATTGAATGCTAGAAAAATCTTAAATTTGTTTACTTCTTTGAGTAGTATCTAATCTCTTTTGGACTGATACCCACTACTTGATTGCCTTCTGTCTGCTCAGAACATTGATTCGTGATCAACGATCATCAAATTTCGAATTTCCAACCAACTATTTCGTAATACCCACAAAGACTGAAACTAATTTATGTATATAGCGGACATTACATACGATGAACCTCAACTTAGACCCCAAAACAGGAATCTACATTCATTAAATGGTATTATTTATAGTCTTTAAGCAAGCACTCTGTGTACATAGGCTATAATTTTATTTTATTTGTATGGACTTTGTGTACATAAGCTCTGAAATTAATTTAAAAATCGAATAATTTGTTTATGTCAACAACATCAGTGAAGAGCATGCCATAGACATGTAGAAGAATTCCCTTTTGGACCTTAGCATTACGAACCTAGCCATAGTTTATCGTTAAGTAAATGTTGAGTATTTAGTTGTATAAATACAAAAAGTCAATGTGATATTCGAAAATTGAAATTGTATCTTTCTGTTCGGTTTCTTCATTTAGAGTTTGTTGCGCGGTGGCTTAGTGAGGGCAAGCACAAACAGTTCCCATAGCATTTACAAATGACTATGTTTAAATCAAAATTGGTGGGTGCTGCCAAAAGGATCTAAGGCAGCGCGTAAGGCCGTGTTTACCTGTTGACGAGTACGTTTGCGGCCCTTAATCACTTCTGTTTGGGAGGTGGAGAGCTCGAGTCGAGGTTCCCTCTCTCGATCTGCTGTCGTGTCGGAAGTCGGAACTCATTAATCGTGTGTGCCGGTAAGTGATGTTTTGACCTTTTCGTATGGTTGGTGGGTGTGGCACACTCCGCTACTAAGTCGTGCCGCCTAGCTCCCAAGGATAACTAGGATGGATCGGATACACTCCTTGAGACGGGTTGCCGCTGATGTGATGGAGGAAAGTGTGGCGAATGTAAACAAATGTTGCAGGAGCGATCGCCAAAGGATACACATGTACAAACCACATATGAATGCTGATGTGAATAAATTAATGATGACGGTTATTTCGGTATTTGGTTTTGCATTGGATTTTTGGTTTGTATTTTTTAAAACTAAAGCCAAACAAATTTATTTAATACATGCAATCATATTCCTTCCCCCCGTTCATCTGCTGCATCATCTGTAAGGTAAGATTCGATCTGAAGCTGGATCAAGAAAGATCTCTTATTGTAAACCGAATGTAATTTTATACTAAGAAGTGTTCTAACATTCGAAATATTTTTCAGATTTCTTGAATAATACAATCCCGATTTTATCCTATTTCCCCCACAGATTGATCAATGAATTTTTTATCATTATAAGTACTAACAAAAAACTACACAACTTTATTCATACATTTTACGATCAAACTAGTTTTTGGTTTCCACTTTACATTTATTTTTGAATTGAATTTCTCGTTGTATCCTGTTATATTTTAATTTATAATATCATGTTATTAAGTTAGTATTAAATCAACATGTTTTTAACTATTTTTTTTAATATTTTCTTATTCTTTTGATATTGGTTCGTATTTAGTGGTTGTTCTACCATTTAATTATCCTTTTAGTTGGCCACTGTGGTTTATTATTTAGCTGCTGTTGAAGAAATTCTTCTCTTGCAACGGCAACAGCATGTGAAGTATATTCCACCTTCCAGACTATACGATTGGTGGAGGACGATCGCGGAACAGGCACATCAAGGACAAGGAAAACTTGAAAGAAAACCGTGAATTTTGTGTTACAAATTTATTAAAGAAATCGTTTCTGTATTAAATAAATAAAAATAATTTTGAAAAATTTGTGTTTTTAATGTTTATTTTTATTATTCAGAATTCTTAGAAATCTTAGGATTTTTCCATATGGCCAAATTAACTTTAAAATATCCCGAGCATTCAAAATTCTAACTTGAAATTTGTTTTAATTTGTTTTAATTTTAAATTTGTAATTTCTATTAATTATGTATAACTAAAATAATAAACGATCATGTACAATGCCTAAAACTAACAGCCTTTATAAGTTTACACTAGGTTCGGAGTGTTGCTACAACACAGCATCCCACAGCATCCCATCCGTAGAGGGACTCCACATGCTCAATAGTCCCTGGAGAGCAGCGTAACCAGATCACCGATATATGCCTGTGCCATTTGCAGCGTCTCGTATTTGGAGAGCCGTCGATCGTGGCCCAGAGATGGCACCACATCGCGCAGCTTGTCGAAGGCATCATTCAGGCTGTTCATCCGGCGGCGTTCCCGGGCATTGGCCGCCAGGCGACGCTTCTTGAGGACAACTCCACTGCACACAGGAGACAAAGGTGCGGACGCTGACGCAGATGATGAGGAGGTGCTGGAGCATAATGATGAGATGGAGGTGGAGAGCTTGTCGTAGGGCTTGCTTCGGTGTTGCTGCTGCTTGGTCCAGTAATTGGAACTCCTCTGCGGGTATTTGCCCAAAGAATTCGCTTGATTCTGCTGCTGCTGCTGCTGTTGATGCTCCTCGGCCTGGGCGGAGAGCATGTGCTCTAGTCCCAGAACGGCAGGGGTGTCGTAGTACAGCTGCTCCATGGTGGAACTGTTGGTCTCATCCGAGTGGCTGTCGCCGCTGGCTGCACTGAGCTCCTGCTGGTACATGAACTGCTCCAACTGCTGGAAGGCATCCATGCCTTGAACGCCCAGCAGCTCATCCGAGTGGGAATGCGTTTCGCTGGGGAAGTAGAACTGCTCGATCAGATCGTTGTTGGTCAACATGTTGAGGGCCGAAGGATAACTGAACTGGAACAGGGCTGGTCATACGCCTTTATATAGCTGGGCAGAGGCAAGTCCGCTGCCCTTTTATGATTGGTTTAGGTGCAGGCAGGAGCCTCCCTGCTACCTGATTCGCTGTCTTGGCCTGATCTCCGCTTTTACCTGTGTGCTACCCTCAGAGCCCGTGCCCTAAATTGGCTTGCGGTCAAAACGTTTAATTGCCCATCGTCTGCCTTCGATCGGATCGCATCGGATCGCAACGCAACGCATCGCATCGGATCAGGTCTAGATGGACTTCTGTCGAGTGGCCTTTGCCGCTTTGTTTGACCTGTCATTTGGCTACCGTCCCGTAATCATACCTCTTTTGTGTGCTGAAATTGACTTCTTTTGCTGCCAAGGTCAAAATGCCAGCGCAAAACAGAGCTCGGAGGGAAAGCTCCCAATGTGGGAATTATTTCCATAATTTCTGCAACGAACGGTTCTGCCACTCCACTCCGCCCCATAAGCATCTCCCCAGCTCCATATCCCATTGCATGTCTGTGGTCTAGTAAGTGGATGCAGAACAATGAAAAAGAATTCCGATGTGCGGTTTGCAACTTTCGATTTTAGTCGATTTTACTTTACTTTACTTTACTTTATTATTGGGTCAAACGTAAAACGCTTTTCGGTGGCTGGGGCTTTCTCTGGGGCCTCCAGCTTAACTTTTTACACGAAAACAGTTTTGCGGGTAGGTGTCAAGGAAGGGAAGAGGGACGGAAGGAAGGAAGAAGTCTGTTCTGCAGAATGTGAAATTTATTTAAAATTTTTTAATATGGAACATCACATTGGGAGAAATTTTAAAACAGTATTTGACATCAAAAGTGCCTAGAGAGTTATTTTATTATACTCCCAAGGATCTGGAACAAAATCATTTTCAGTCGAGAAACTGTAGAGACAACAACATCTACATAACAAAATTTGTAAAAATTCCAAATTTTAGTTTCCAAATTTCAGACTAGCAACCAGATCTGAAACTAAGCCTTTTTTTTAATTTCTGAAATTATTTACCGAGATTTTTATTTATTTATTATGGGGCCGAATGCTAAAAATAAATTTTCAATGTTCACTGTTCACTGGGAAACGGCATAGAATGGCTTAAAACTAGCTATATTTATATTTTCCATAATATGTTGTGGGAATAATACTACTGTGGAGTACAGCAGATCTACCACAATCGGGATTAATAAGTAAATAGGAGGTAAGTCTTTCAGCTAACTTTAAAGTTCATTGCTAATTATTCGGTTTCAGGTAAATCCCAAAAAAATCATCTTCAAGTGGTTTCCGCTCCTTTTTCTGCACTTTCTTGATAATTACTAGGTTACCTGAATCCCCCCTGATCATCCACTGATTCCAATGAGAGCACCAGAGACATCAGACCAATTTCGCAGGTTCCAGCAGCAGCGATAGAGGCGCAGAACCCTTTTTTGGATCGATGGCAATGTATACCGGATCGGAAACTGTCGAGGGCTTTGAGGCGGCTCTCTGCAAATCCAACCATATCTAACATCATTCGGGGCATTGCATGCGCCATCACCTCGGGGGGCTCAACACAGCGGCTGCAGCTGACGGTAAGTTCTGGATCCCCCATGCTTCGGTGTAAGTCATCCATGGCTGACTGACTGCTTGGGCACATCGTTGGTGGATCCAGAACAAGCATCTCAGTCGCGAATATCTCGGCCGACTTGCACATCTTCATCAGTCATCAGATCTTTGGCATCCGTTGCCTTATCCGAAACATTTGTAGTAAACGCATAATAAATAAATAAATTCATTTTGTATTTAGTACCTGCCACTAAATAGTTTCCCTAGTATTTACATATATTTATGTGCACTCGTAGCACATCCATTTACTTCGCTTCGCTCTACTTTGCTGCCACACAGCAATCAGTCCTCGGGTCAGTCCGGCTCAAGCCCACTTTCAAGTGGCCGCAACGAAAGGTTAATTAACTCAGAGCCCACAGCTCCGAGGATGCACTCCACCCACTCCACTCAGAAGAGGAAAATCAATTCAAACAGTTCGCTGAATTTCTATAGAAAACGGCCAAAACAATTGGGAAAACACACTGGCAGAGGAGAAGCGCCAGGCATGGCTAAAATGTACAAATGATTGGCCAGTGCACCAGAACCAGAACCAGAACCAGAGCAGATATTTCACACAAATTGTCAAGAACAATGCGGAGGGTTGGGGCATCCCACAATATGCCGACAAAAAGCAACCCTGACGTTTGATCTTGAAGCGGTGAGCCACTGAGCCACTGACCATGATGATGATGATGATCGCTGATGGATCTGATCGATTGACTTTGTCAAGAGTGCCACGCGACCGCAGCTTAGTAGCAGATCCCGGCTCAAGCATTATGCTGCAATATTCGGTAGAAAGGTTCGCGGATAGCCTAAAGATCGTCAACGCCCATGAGGTACCGAAACACCAAAAATCCCTGGCCTGGCATTTCCTATTAGCATTTTGCGTGATCTACCTGAGGAGAGGCTCTCTCTCTCTCTCTGTCTTTCTCCCTGCTTCAGGAGGCTGTCAAAATAGCAACAATAGGTAGCAGTGGATGGTGGGCGGTTCTGGTTGAAAGTGGGAAGAAAACCTCTCTCTCTCTCTCTCTCTTCACATCTCAAAGTCTATTCTTAGGCCAACAATAGGTCACCTGATGATAATCCTCTGTTGTCCGTCTGTTGGTTGCGTGTTGGCTCTTCTTTCAGCTCTGCTCTGCTGTGCCAGATTAATCGTTTTCGTTTTGCGGATTAGATGTTGGCGCTAAATTGCGAAAATACGATTAGAGTCGAGTTCCCAAAGTCAAGAGGAATTCCATGGGAAACTCTCACTCACTTGTCGAACGATCCTTTCATTGTTATGGACATCCCAAGACAATGGCAACGATTTGTGGCTGCTTTTGTTTGCCTTTTTGAAACCTCATAGAGAATCCCACTCGAGTCCCACTGTGCTGAGCCAAATTACCATGTAATAATCTGGAATTATGAATTATTATATTCGACTATTTGTTTGTTTCCAAGTAAATTTGTTGTGGTCTCACAGATGTGCGCAAAAAAAAAAAAACAAAAAAATAAAAATAGAATCTCCAGACTGCATGTCGGGTCGGGGATTAGGAGAGGGCTCTCTCTCTTGTATGGCACATTTGTATGGTAATTTCTTGGCTCAAAGCATGCGACAATTTCCACAAAACTCATGCCATAACTTAGGTCCAAATACCCCCGACCTCTAACCCTTAGAGCCCTGCCAGGTATCATCGAAAAGTGTCCGTTAGGCTGCCCCCGATAGCGCCCCGGGAAAGTGTCAGGCAATTGCATTCGTTTATGAGAATTTATTGACACTCGAGCGGTATCACGGGCTAACATAAAAACAGATCCTTGAAAGGACGTCTCTGTGTGTGCGTGTGTGTGTGTGTGCAGGTAATCAGTGCTGGGGTGTGCGCCGCCAACGGCTGACCTTCCCCTGATGAGTATCATAAATTGTCATCACATAAATAGTGCCAAGAACAGAGGCTCAAGGCGCATTCTGGTGACATTTATGACTCTATTGCTGCCAGAGCGAGCTCCTGCTGTTGGCAATCAGTGTCCTCCTTTACACGCGACCCGATCCCCTATCTTAATAAGCATTTAATGGTAGCGGTAAACGCTGCACAAACAAAGTCCAAAGCGGATAAGAATCCTGCCTGCTCCGAGCGCAAAAGTGTTAAGTGGATGCTGTGGATAGCAGCGGCTCTGGCAGCAGGAAATATTTTCTTCAAATATCGTTGCAAAATCCGTTCCATTGATAAATAAAAAACAGAAAACTCCACTCACCAAAATACGTAGAAAAAAGTGTGCTGTGAGGGATCTTTCATTATAATCCTAGTACTATAAGCGGTAGGGACTGGAACAAAATCATTTTCATTCGGGAAACTGTAGACACAACAACTACAAACTCACATCTAAATTTATAAATAAAAACAAAATTTCTAGCAAAAATAATTGAATAGATATAAATTCGCTTTGTTCTTGACAATTTTTGTGTTCTTTAGTGTTTCGAGCTGATGGCTGGTGAAGTTGTCCGGGATCGATGCCATCAGGAGATGCCTGCTACGGGCAAGCTACTCGGGAGCTTCGCGGCCCAGATGTTATTTCTGGTTCCATCGACGATGCGCTCGGGAATTCAGCCAGGGACGACTTACATCGAAGCAGGGGCATCCACAAGGTACCCTCAGTTGCAGCAGGTGCGCTGAGGTCCAAGTTGAAGACGCGTCTTGGTGCTGCGGATGCTGCTGGAAATGGATGGACTTTTGCCGAGAGCCGCCTCAATGCTCCCGGCATACATACGTTTCCATCGATCCTCAGTCGTTCGGTTTCTCTTTCGAGGATCGACTTAGCGTCTTTCATCGCACGCTGCCGTGCTGCTGTTTCGGTGCCAGGCGACAAGGCAATCTCTTATACATATATAATCAGTGTATGATCAGTGGGTGATGTCTCTTCATGCTACGCTTCATGTACCCCAGGAATTCTCACTGGATTGGCACACGAATTGGGCATTCCACAACTACGAATAAAAAAAAACTAATAAATATTAAATTAAATTTAATTTCTAAAGTATTTTCTGTTTGAATTAGAATTAGAATTAGCCACGTAACGACCTTTTTTCGACTTTTCCTGAGTTTTTAAAGTCAAAATTTCGTAAAAAATACCGCACAAAAATCATAATTTTTGCATTTCAATGTAATCACAAAGTGTTTGGGCTTAGCTTCTAGCTGTTTTAATTACCTTTTCAAAATAGCAAAGTTCTTTACAACCAGACGTAAGATACTAGAGTTATGTGAAAAAAACAAGCGCTACCTCTGAAAAAAGCTTTACAAAAAAATACCAGACTTCAAAAATTCTTCAAAAAAAAAGTTCTGCCATAGAAAAAAAACCATAATTCTTTAAAAAATTTTAAAGCCCCATATCTATCAGAAAAAGTCGGTTTGGATCCTTGAGGAAAAAAAAAGTTCGATTTTGTCGAGTAGTGTTATCTACTTTAAGCTGTAATAGCACTAGTCAATCAGGCGGAACAGCTCTCAGAGGTGTAACACCTATCCGCCCCAAGTTTATATAAATTTTCTCACAAATAAAAAATCACTCACAATTACATAAATAAATATAGCTATTTGTTTTATTTGTATTTAGATTATTGGAAAGAACTGATTACATTGAACGCTAACATGATCGATAATAGTTTTCTTTTTTCTGAGGCGGGGGGCGGGTGTAGTCACAGTTTAACGCTTCCAAAAAGTAGCACACACACACACGAGACACGCAAATATATATTTATCTAAAATAATCCATCAAAGTCCAAGCCAAACTGTGAGTACATCCGTCAGCCCCTACCCATGGGTTGAGTTATCACTAGGTGCATAATGAAATCTTTATGATTATAGCCACAAACTGGCGATTATGTTACTCTAATACTTGTTGCCTTTCGGTTATCATTATTCGTGCTGTGGTAGTAGAAGGAGAAGTAAAATTGGATCACATAAATGTTAATATCGGGGTGGGGTTCGATTGGGGGCGGGGCGTGTGTGTGAATAAGGGTAAAAACATGATACGTTTCGTCATGGATACACATAGATAAAATTGGATATATGTGGAGTCGGCTGATATGAGGATTGATTTGAAGTCTGATTCTGCTCCCTGTGGCATGCCGCGGTGTGCTAGCTGAACGAACATACACGACTACTGCTAAAGCTTCCAGCACACATAGGACACACACACACACACACACAATAGATGATAAAATTGCCGTCTAAATTGGTTCATTCCGGTTGCTCTGTTGCTTTGTTGCTTGGTTGCACTGCGTGGGTGGGGGGTTTGTTTGCTTTTTTTCTCTTTTGTTATCACTTATGGAAATGCTTTTGCCATGCGCCTAGAGTCTCGAGTCTAGAGCGTTGTCGAGGTCACCGTACTGACGCCATGCACCAGAATTGTGGGCGGCAATTCAGCCGTCAGCTCCGTCAGCAGCTCCACATAAGCGTCACTGCGTTCCGCAAAATCTGTTGTCGAGAGCTTTGGCGGCGCTGCCAAGTAGATGAACGATAGCGCCGTCTGATCCGAACGGTCGCGTATAATTTGATTCGCCCTGTTCATGTACAGGACCGACATGGGACGCGTGGTCTCATCGCCGTCCTCCAGCAGTGCGTTATCCGCCTGCCCGGTGAACTGCTTGAGGGTGCGTGCTTGACGCACGAAATCAGAGTCTCGACTCCATTCCTCAATCTCAATAATGTCGGCTGTGATGCGGAGCTCTTTGAGCGACTGCTGCAGCTTCATCTTGGAGAAGACTTCCATTTGAGGGGCCTGGGTGTCAAAGGTTCTGCGAAAAAAGCCAGAAGAGAGTCAGTTTAATGCAGGCACTTAGTTTGTATTTATGCACCTACCCCACAGTGCGCTCATCATTCGTTTCACACAGAAAGATTCGCACTCGCAGATGCTTCCATTTGGCCAGCATTATCACGGCCAGCTGCATCATGAACAGGGAGACCATGTCGAAGGGATCGCCAGACGTGGGATTGAATATATTAATGGGCCACACATCAATGTACTTAACGTGTTTGCTTCTGCAGAGAATATATTCAGAAAACGAGCCAATTAAATGGGCATTGCAGCACTCACATGGCTATAAAGTTCTTGTCCAGACGCTGAAAGTTCCTGCACAGGCAAAGATTCTTCTTCATGCGCAGCGTATCGCAGAGGATCTGCACGTATTCCTGCACCTGGAAATGCTTTGGATCGCCATCGCGTCGTATGGGGAAATTCTGTATGTCGCCGCTGTTGAAGTCATCCGTTTTATAGGGGGAGGAACCGCTGTGACAAACAAAATAAACCAAAAATAATTATGCCATTCCATTATTAGTTTCCACTCACTTTTTGAAGAAATCTTTGGGCGGCTCATTGTCATAGAAGCCGAGAATAATGGTGTTTGGTTTCATGGCGCCAATGCCCGACAAACGTATCAAATGCTGAACGCCCTCGCGAATGCTGCGGCTCAGCGTGACCTCCGTGAATGCCTTGACGCGCATGTGATCGAGGAATGACCACCATTGCTGGTTCTCCTCCACATCCTCGACGCTCCTGAAGTCCCCCACCTTGACATGGCCGATGATGTAGAGGCCGCTCTTCTTCAGATCGTTGACAAAGTCCACCAGCGGACAGCAGGAGCGTGGCGAGGAGACCAGCAGTAGAATTTGTGGGCGCCAGAATTTCACATGATCCTTGCGCGGATCCAGCATGAGCAGATACTTGCGCACCTGATGGAACATCAGTGCCTGCGAAATGGATCCCCATTGGGCTGCCTGAGTGGCCGGCGAAAAGAGATGCAAGGCAATCACCAAAATCAGGCACAGAATGATGCAGGAGGAGGCATAGATCGGATTGATCACGAACATCATGATGAGTGTGCCCAGCAGGCCCACGAGGCACGTGTGCCAGGTGAAGTACTTGAACAGGGGCCGGAAGTTGGGGGCACCCGTCAGCTCAATGCCCAGGCAGGCCAGATTGGTGGCCAGATACGAGAGCATGAACAGCACCGAGTTGATCTGGGCTATGATGTTGAAGGAGCCAATCAGCAGGATGCACTCGACCATCACCCAGCTGACCGCAACGGCGGCAATCGGATTTCCCTTCCACGTTCCATGCAGCACAAAGTTCAGCAGCGAGCCAAACACTTGGTCCTTGGACAGGGCCTCCAGTATCCGGCTGGAGCCAATCAGGTTGCTCAGTCCCGTGGAGAAGGTGGCCGTCAGTATGCCAATGGCCGTGAATGGTGGCCACAGATTGACGGGCAGCAGGAACAGGTAGTTATTGCGCATCGTCACGCCCGGTGTGGTGCAGCTCATCAGGAACGAGAGTATGATGTACGAGACGAAGGTGAATGCCACCGCCGAGAGTGTGCCCCAGGGAATGCTCTTAGCGGGATTCTTCAGCTCCCCAGACATGTTCGCTCCCGCCATGATGCCCGTCACGCCGGAGAACAGCACACCGAAGGTGGTGGAGAAGTCAACGATCTTGTTGTTCGATGTATAATCGTGGCCATACTGCGCTCCCAGATTATCGCTCAGTGTGTTCGCACTCAGACCCGTATACGGTAGGTGTGCAGTTTTATTATAATACGTATTCTCCACGGGCACCGGTATCTGTAATCAGAGCCATCAAAGAAATACAAAATTATTACTATCACTGCCATCCGTTTAGGTTATCGCTAGAACTACATACATATATCAAATGCTATATGTACATATGTATAATGCCGTTCTAATCGGTCCCACTCCTCACTCTCTGACTCACAAGAATCGTCATTTTACTTTGTTTAAGTCCTTGGGGCCCCTTATCGCCGGCTGTATTTATATTTATTTATTTTTTAGATATCCACAAATGGGAATTATACAATAAAATACCCACAAAAACTGACCGAAAAACTGATAGATAAAAGCTGGTCAAAAAGGCTGCCAACTTGAATGGGTTTTAATGGTGGAATTATGTGTAGTTAGGGGCAAATATTTAACTGGCTAGATAAAGGCCAAAGGGAATGCAACAAAAGAAAGAAATCTACCGACACACTCACTGGCCTAGAGACAGTTTCTTGTGAGTGTCCTTTATAAACTATCTATAATATAATTTATAATCTACAAACGGACATTTTCCGGGGCAACTACAAAGGGGTCAAGCTTCTCTTGGGCTGGAAAATTGAATGAATTCTCAATGTTTTCGGCTGCAAAATAATGGATCTCTATTAATTATCTCAGAAACAATCTTAAGCAGAATTCTAAGAATTATTTGGCCATACTGGGAATGGAATTCCCTTGCATATTATCATTAATTTGTTTAAAACTACTTGCTGAATCATACTGGACTTAAATGTGTTTCTGTTTTGAAATAAAATAAAAATCTGCAAAGAGGAGTGGAAACACGCTACCCCCTTATCAATTTTGGAATTTTAAATGAGCCACATGAGCCATAGATAGCCTAGATATCGGGCATAGCATATAGTCATAGATTGATAAGCCCGACAGGGCTTTGGGTCAATGAGTGATGGCTGGGGCGGGAAGGCGAGCGCTGGGAACCACTTACCATGTCATCGTTGCCGCCTAGAGCCAGGAAACTGATGTACGTAGCCACCAGGGATATGGTCACCGTGCCCAAAATAAGCACTGACGTCTTGGCAAAGAGTGCGGCACCCACCAGGCAGACCAGGAGCTGGCAGGTGTTGATGATGCTGCTGGTGAGGAAGCGCCACCACTTGCCGTCGGGCAGGGTGGCGCCGTCGCCGACAAAGTGTCCGCCCGGTCCAAAGTTATCCATGATGCCCTCGGTGCAGCCAGAGATGGCCATGGCCGAGCCGACGACATTCGCAAAGAAGAACAGGGTGCCAATGGAGCCGCCAAATTCCAGGCCCAGAGTGCGACTTATCATGACTGGAAAGGGTTAAGCGTGAGTTATGATAACTGCAAGGGAAGTGCTAGACTAAGACTCACAGTAGACGCCTCCGCCCTCAATCGCTCCGTTGGTGGAGATGGCGCAGACCGAGGCCACCGTAAACAGAAGAATCCCATAGGCGATGAGGAACTGCAGCAGAGTTATGTAGAGGCCCGCATTGCCGACAATGTAGCCTAATCGGATTACACGCAGAGAAAGTCAGCCACGGGCACAGGCACAGGCACAGACACAGATAGAGAAACAAAAGTTCAATGGACCAGCACAACAAGTGTCTGTCGGTCCATGACGTCACTAGAAAAACCTACCAACACGTATGAAAACCAATGCGCTGAACATCGACAGGGCCACCGGACTGAAGACGCCAGCAAAGGTGCCCAGAGTTCGCCCACTCCGTTCTGGATCCTGCATCCCAAATTCCACATAGCCATCGCCAGATTGCGGTGTTAGCGGGCGAGTGGTGTCCGAGTTGTTGCCCCCGAAAAGGGAGCCGAAGCTCCGAAACACACTGCCAGCGCTGCCACTACGCGGCGCGGCGATTGGTGCCGTTTCCTGGTCCGTATTGCTGCTCATCGCGGCCGTAGGTTGAGTAGCGCGTAGCTCCAGAACGCTTAAAGTTGCTAGCAGCAGCGAAACCAACAATAGTAATAATTTATGTGCAGCTGCCTTTGTTTATTGTGTGGGTGTTTCGATATGTTCAACCAGGGCTGCAGCTGCAATCGATAGCAGCATTCAGCAACACTTCAAGACACCGGTCTTGTTGTTCTGCCAAAAAATTCGTTAAAAATTGACTTAATGCCACCGATCTCTAATTCAAAACCTTTAGTGACTGCATTTGCGAATATATTTGAATTAATTTTTACGCTGTAAATTCAGCGCTGTATATTTTTTTAATGGCGACGTCACTGACCATATCTTTGGCCATAATGTGCCGATGGTGCTGCGCGACCCATAGCAGTGCGATGCACGCACATTTTGAATGCCCACTAATTTCTTCTCAAACCCAAAGCTTTTTAATTGATAATGCACTAAATCAAGGGCGACTTGTATTTTAAAAGCCCCCAAATGTGTATTAGAGCTAACACACAACCTGTGATAGGATTGGGTTAATAGTTTATCATTTAACATTTTTGTATCTGTATATGTTTATTCTACATCTCTCTCGCATATTTTCAATATGGCTGCCATAAATTTTCGTCCTCTGTGGGGTAGTTGAATATCTGAAAACATCTAAATACAGTTAGTCGATAGTCGCCATAAAACATCGGTTCCAACAAATTTAAAAACATCGATGTTGCTCCACAAATATCATCAAATATGTTATCGAAAACGACGTATCGATATATTAGTATAGTAATTTTCACATCTCTAGTTAATACTACCAGCTGTTCTGAGGAAAATTTTGTGATTTTTTGGAATTGAATTTCACGAATTATGGTAAACGATAAAAAGCGTCGCTCGCGCTCGCGGGAACGCTTCAGGGACGAGCGTCAGCAGCAACAGGGCGTTGGCCAAAGGGAGAGAGAGCGTGAAAGAGAACGACCACGGAACGAAAGGGAGCCGCAACGTTTGGATAGGCCAAACGACAGGGAGAGGGACAGACGCCAGCGGCGTTCACGTTCCCGGTGAGTTTTAATTACATTAATTTATTTGAGTAATGTACACTAATGAGCACCTTTCACAGTGAGGATCGCATCAGACGTCGCTCGCCAGACCGCCAAAGGCCGAGGGATAACAATGGCCCAGAGCGTTCACGTGAACGTGGTGGTCCAGGAGGTGGACGCACCGGAGAGCCGGAAAAGAGAGCCAAACTGGATTCGAGCGGCAGCTCCGGCAAGCCAGATGGCAAAGAGGATGAGGAAATGCCGGATGAGAAGCAAGACCACAAGCTAAAGAAGGAGCCGCTCTCCCTGGAAGAGTTGCTGGACAAAAAGAAGCGCGAGGAGGAGGCCCGTGCCAAGCCGGTCTTCCTCACCAAGGAGCAGCGTGCCGCGGAGGCCATCAAGCGTCGCCAGGAGGAGGTGGAGCGTCTACGCGCCGCTCAAGATGCTGCCCGCGAGCAAATGGCAGCGCCCAGAGAGATTAACATGTCCATAGCCACTGCCCCAGCAACGGCACCACCATCGGCGCCCATGCCACCGCCTCCCTCTCGCCCAGAGAGACGTGAGCGTGGCAACAACAGAGGTGACAGGGGTGGTGGCGGTGGCGGTGGTGGCAATAATAATAATAACAACAATAACAACAGTGGCAATCATGGTGGAGATGGTGGCGGTGGAGGAGGCGACCGCGGCGGCGATCGGGACAGGGACAACAAACGGGCCGAGGACCTCACCCACAAGGACAAGGAAAAGGAGCTGGAGGCCATTCGCGAGCGATATTTGGGCATCATAAAGAAGAAGCGTCGCGTGCGGCGTCTCAACGATCGCAAATTCGTGTTCGACTGGGATGCCGGCGAGGACACGTCCATAGATTACAATAATCTGTACAAGGAGCGCCACCATGTGCAGTTCTTTGGACGCGGCAACGTGGCCGGCATCGACATCAAGGAGCAGAAGCGCACCCAGAGCCAATTCTATGGGGATCTGCTGGAGAAGCGTCGCACGGAGGCCGAGAAGGAGCAGGAGAAGGTGCGCTTGAAGAAGATGAAGCGCAAGGAGGACAAACAGAAGTGGGACGATCGCCACTGGTCCGAGAAGGAGAACGACGAGATGACTGAGCGCGATTGGCGCATCTTCCGCGAGGATTACAACATAACCATCAAGGGCGGCAGGATACCCAATCCCATACGCAGCTGGAACGAGTCCGGCTTCCCGCCGGAGATCATCGACATCATCGATAAGGTCGGCTACAAGGAGCCCACGCCCATTCAGCGCCAGGCCATTCCCATTGGCCTGCAGAATCGTGACATTATTGGCGTGGCCGAGACGGGTTCCGGCAAGACGCTGGCCTTCCTCATTCCCCTGCTCTCGTGGATCCAGTCGCTGCCCAAAATTGAGCGTCTCGAGGATGTGGATCAGGGCCCGTATGCCATCATCATGGCGCCCACGCGTGAGTTGGCCCAACAGATCGAGGAGGAGACGATCAAGTTTGGCCAGCCCCTCGGCATACGCACGGTGGTCGTGGTGGGCGGCCTGTCACGCGAGGAGCAGGGCTTCCGCCTGCGCCTGGGCTGTGAGATTGTCATCGCCACACCGGGTCGTCTCATCGATGTGCTGGAGAATCGCTATCTGGTGCTCAACCAGTGCACCTACATAGTCCTCGACGAGGCAGATCGTATGATTGACATGGGCTTCGAGCCCGATGTCCAGAAGATTCTCGAGTACATGCCGGTGACCAATCTGAAGCCGGACACCGAGGAGGCCGAGGATGAGAACAAGCTGATGGAGAACTTCTACACGAAGAAGAAGTACCGACAAACGGTGATGTTTACGGCCACGATGCCGCCGGCTGTGGAGCGTCTGGCCCGGTCCTATCTGCGACGGCCCTCGACCGTGTATATTGGCTCGGTGGGCAAGCCAACGGAGCGCACGGAACAGATCGTGTACATGATGGGGGAGAACGACAAGCGGAAGAAGCTCATGGAGATTCTGTCGCGCAAGATCGATCCGCCAGTCATCATTTTCGTCAACCAGAAGAAGGGCGCCGATGTGCTGGCCAAGGGCCTGGAGAAGCTCGGCTACAATTCGTGCACGCTGCACGGTGGCAAGGGCCAGGAGCAGCGAGAGTACGCACTGGCATCGCTCAAGTCCGGCTCCAAGGACATTCTGGTGGCCACCGATGTGGCTGGTCGTGGTATCGACATCAAGGACGTCTCCCTGGTCATCAACTACGACATGGCCAAGTCCATCGAGGACTATACGCATCGTATCGGTCGTACGGGCCGTGCCGGCAAGACCGGCTGTGCCATCTCCTTTGTCACCAAGGACGACAGCGGCCTCTTCTACGACCTCAAGCAGGTCGTCACGGCCAGTCCTGTGTCCACGTGCCCACCCGAACTGACCAACCATCCAGAGGCCCAGCACAAGCCCGGCACCGTGGTCACCAAGAAGCGCAGGGAGGAGAAAATATTCGCCTAAGATTCGAGTTGAATTTGTTTCGAACTAATAATAAAGCAAGCGACATAGGGATCCCCTGCTTCCAGGGTTTCCCATCATTTCCATTTAAAACTGAATATATTTTTCTTGATTCTTCATCATCTCAGCAGACGCAGGAACAGGGCGTTCCGGCTCTGCTTGGAGTCCAGCGGCAGATACTTGTCATAGAAGTCCACGATGATCTCCTCGATCTTGAAGCCAAACTTCTGGTACAACATCACCGCCGGATTGCTGGCGGACACATGCAGCGTGATGTCCTTGGACATGCAGGTCTGTATGAGATGGTAGAGCATGAAGCTGGCTATGCCACTGCGCTGCCAATTCGGACGCACGGCCATAAAGGAGATGTACGCCTCGTTGTAGCCCACATCGGGCACGAGGAAGCCACAGCCAACGACCAGCTTCTTGTACAGAGCCACCACACTGTAGTCCGGATAGCTGAGGCATTCGCTAACTGCAAGAGAAAGTACACAATTAGAGCGGGTCTTCGATCACTCTCTCTCTCTCTCTGTCTGTCTCTCTTACCATCAATGTTCGGCCAGAAGGCACTCTGGAGGAGCGCATTAACCGCTGGAATATGCTGCGGCCGGACGTAGCAAAAGTCTATGGGCGAACGGGTGGGATGGCAGCGATTCACACGATGCTGCAGCTCGCACATCAGCTTCAGCCAGGGCGGGCCCATCGTCTCGCTGCGGAAGATGAACGGATGGAGGACCCGCTGCGAGTACGGCGACTCGAACATTTCGTACTGCGTGGAGCCCGTGAGGCGGGCATAGAACGAGCTCTTGGGATTCTGTTGGCTGTGCGCGAGCAGCTGATAGCGATCCAGAATCTGTGCCTGCTGCTCGCCCTCCAGCTTACGCCGCGCCCTGGCCGTGGGATCAATGTGCTCGTCCAGGTTGAAAATGGGTCTGTTGTGCTCTCGCTTCCATTTGCGCAGGCACAGCTTGCGATAGAGGCGACGCACATAGGCGGGAATGCTCAATTGGCACTGCTGCTCCAGCGCAAAGATCCTGTGCAGCCGCTGATGCAGTTTCTGCTCCTCGTAGACGCTCATCAGGGCGAGATTCTCGCTGGGCATGGCCACTTCGTCCGCCTCCTGGGTCTCCTGCAGCCAGGGCCAATTGCGGCGCGGCTGTCGGATGAACCCACTCGGCTTGCAGTGCCCCAACCGTGGGGAGCTAGTGTGCAATGCCTCGGAGGAGCTTTCCTCCATTGCCTCTTCCATGGGTTCCTGCTTGATGCGCTGGCTCTGCTCTCGCGGCTGGTAACTGGTGACTTCCACTATACGCGGCGGATGGCTGGCGGTAGCTTCCATCTCCTCCATCTCTTTTTGGTATTCTGTGGGCTCCTCCTCGCTCTCTGCGCTGGCCTCATCTGCCGGCAAGTCAGCTGCCATCGGCTCCTCTTTGATGATGGGTCCTTGCTGCTTCACCTCTTCGCTGGTGTCCGGGGGAATGCCAAAGGTTGAGTCCATGTCGAACAACCCACCGCTGGTCGAGGGCGACTCCAGCAATGCTTCCGTCATAAAGAAATCTGTCTTTCCCGCTCCAATCAGTGGCGGGGGCATTATGCCGGGCAAACTGCTGAACATGCTGAGGTCGTCGCCGCCAAAGCTCTCGGCCAGAAAGTCCATGAGGCTGGCCTGCACACTGCTGAGCGGCTGCTGTGGCGACTTCACCTCCTCCTCCTCCTCCGTTACTGCAGTGGCCGGACCTGTGCCTGTCTCCTGTGCCACTGGTGTGCTGGCTGGAAGCGGGGCTACCTCTTGGTTTAAGGCGGGCACAGGAGGTGGTGCCTTTCTGGGCTTGCGTCCCATGTAAGGACTGAAACGGAAAGCTAAAAATTATTATCTGTGCGTAAGATGTGTGTGTTGCAGCCTTACATAGAACGGGCACAGCCTTCGCTGGGAATGGCTGGCGACGCCTCTGCAGCGGCAGGAATCTTCTCGGGAATAATTTTATTCTCTTCTATGGGTGCAGCACTATGATCGATCACATCCACCTCACTATCGCAGCTGTTCTCATCGCCGAGGAATGAACGTTTGTCAAATCGCATAGCCACGCGCAGTTCCAGCTTTCTCTCATCTGCGTAGTAAAGGAAAATTAAACCAAAGCGAAAGCGAAAGCAATGAAAATCTCGACTCACATTCTCGCTTGGTGCTTCTGGGTGTTTGGTTCGGCTTGGCGAGCTTCCACCAGCCCGTTTCATTGAACTGTTCCATGCCCGACATGAAGTACTTTGGGCTGTTGTGGGAGAGAGTGCCCGAAACGGAGCCAGTCCACTTCTTGCGACGGCGGCTAGGTGAGCGAATGGGAAAATAGGTTCATTAAGAGTCGAGTCTCCTTGTCATGGGCTTACTCACGTATTCGGGCCGAATATGTAGTGCCAGTTACGGTCCACAAAACTGATGATGTGTGTGCGCCAGTGGAAGAATCCATGGTGGCCCAGACCCTTCTGCTTGTGCGACAGATTGTACAGCGTCAGTGTCAGCACCATCAGCCAGGGTATCTTCTGGCGCTCACACCGCTCCTTCACCTCATTGTGTGTGTAGGGCGCTCCCTTCTGTTTCAGCTGCTCCTCCGCGCACGTTATGCACGTGAAGTCAAAGTAAATGTCCCCCAGGAAATCACCTGGCGTGCTCGTGTGCAGACACTTGATGTGCACCATTCCATTGCAATTCTCGCATTCCAGGTAGTTGTCATCGTCGATTTTAAGCTTGCAATACTTGCAGTTGCCACCGATCTGTTCGCTTTCATTCGATTCTGCCATATTAATTGATTTAAATGGTAAAAATCAAAATTACACAAAAATGTAAACAACTTGTTGAGAGATGCAGTGTGACCGAAGAAAAGAAAAGGACTTAACCCACTTAGCACCCCTATATTTAAACAGTGAAAAACATTCAATTAAGCTGCGGAAAATGGTACTGTTTGTATATCCGTTTTGTAGATCCATCCTTCCTTTTTACTTAAAAACCATAATTACCACGATATCTTTCACCTAAAAAGCGTACAAAATGTTTCAAGTTTCATAATATTCGTGGGTAAATCGAAATACTCACTGGTCGTCAATGGGTTAGTCGGTCTCTGTTCGTGATCGGAAATCATATTCCCCGATTTTGAAATTCGGTTAAATATTACTAGCCAGCTAAGAGACTGAGCACTGAACATATAATATTGTCCAATTTATGAATCAATTTTCCACGGGTTTGGTTAGTTTGAAGGACTCCTTTTTATTGAATTGTTTACCAAATAGGATTCAAGCAAAACAAGACTAAGCCATAAAACGTAAGTGTGTACGGAATGTAACGTACTCTTCGCCATCTGGTGGAAATAATATGTACTATATCATTTAAACGGAAATTTAAAAGTCTGAAAAGTATATTCTGCGCGTTTTTAATCAATAATAGTTTAAAAAGTCTATGAAATGTTTAAGAATTGTATGAAAACCGCATTAAATTCTACTAAAATTTTGAGTACACTCCAAATACTCCACATATCTACGACTAAATGTGATTAAAATGCCAAAGAGAATCGCAAGGCAAGATAATTTGCTCGTTGAGAACACATAAGTCTGAATCTATGCGAATTATGGACTGAACACACGTCGGAAACACACCAGAAGTGTCTGTTAATCAAACATGCGGCTATCACGCCCTCCGACCTGCACGGCAAATGCAACGAAAATGACATTAATGGGCTCTTTACGGCTTACGCATAATTAAGTCCGTTGCCGGTCCTGTCTGGTCCTGACTCTGGGCCGTCTCTGTTCTGGTCGAATGTTGTCTTAAGCGAGCCTAATTAGGCATCGCTTGGCTGTTGCTGTTGCTGCTGCTCTTGTCTGTGAGATGAAGTGCATGATTGGTTTACGAGATAAGGCGATGATGGCCATGCCTCCCATTCTGCCCACCCCTCGCATAAGTATACAAAGGGAAAACGTTCAATACTTTTTGCGGGAACTGCATGGCGCTGCAGATGTGCATAAAGAGCTGTTGCTCCTCCATTCATTCATTCATTCAACTCCTTTACTTGTGTGTCGTCTATAGCCCCAGGACGATTTTTAATTCCATTGCGACTGCCCAGCGGCAATACGTACAAAATGTGTGACAAACAAAAGGAGAAGAACAACTCGGCTGGCATGTTGTTTGTCCTTTTATTTTACTTTAGCAAAATAAATGAAAATAATATGTGTTTAAATTTGTGATATTTCATCCTTTAATTTTACGGCATATACGGCTATTATATTTATGAATATTCAGCGCTGTAAAGATATTTAATACGTACTGCACAGATATTATGGTGAGCTAGAGCCAGAGCCAGAGCCAACATGCCATCTGATTTATAAATAATTAATATACTTAAATATCTATAATATAATTACATTGTGCGAAAAAAAAAGGAAAACATTTGAGTGTATTTTGCAGGGACAAAAATTGAGCTATACACTACACATCCCCATACCTAAAAATTTACAGTATACTGCCAAATAAATTTAAAAAATTCAAAAACCCCAAACTGGGTACTTTTTGAACTGTCTTAATTTTCATTTTTTATTTGCAGAACACATATTCAAAACAATTAATGGATTGCAAAGGGAATTATATGAACTTTAATAGTATTTTTTGTTCGTGTGGCTACGCTGGCTGTACCTGAAGATATATTGATCCAACGTTAAAGTTTGCTACCATTAATAATATTTTTTTTTTTGTTTTATATGAAATATTAATTCAAATAATTCGATTTTAAATAATTAAAATTCATTTATATTTCTTATTTGTGTTATGTGTGTGTGTGTGTGTTTGTGTTTCTTCTTTAGTTTGTTGCATATGAAATATTAATTCAAATATTAAATATCTATTTATGTATTTATATTTCCCTGTTCCATGTGGGTTACCCTGCCATTTTTACACTCCATCTGTAGCTCAAATTAATCAGATTTTCCTGCATGCTCTGTCACTTACAGATGTAATGCAGCCAAGTACTTGCTGGTTGCTGGTTGCTGGCTGCCCTCATTAGCCAAAGCAAACACTTCCTCGCCAGAAATGGAACTTATAGTATTTTTACCTTCAATCAAGGCAAACGCTCCCCCCAGCACCATCACCATTACCACTACCTTTCTCTGCTCTCCCCGCTCTCCCACTACATCAAACAAGCAAGTTATGGGCTGACCATTTTCCAAACGATTTAATGCCAGAATAGAACAGAGCAGAAGCGGCGGCCGATGTCGATGCCGTGGCATCCGTGGCATCCTGTGTTGTGGGGGGGGGGGGGGGGCAACAAAAGGCAAACAAACGGCGTCTGGCTGTCACTTAATCGAAGCCATTAGCGTTATTAGTGGGGGCAGCCACGCAGCCACGCACCCAGCTCCAACCTGTGTACTGCTCATCCGCATTGGTATTTGCCAGCTACTCCCATGCCTGGCTGGCGGCCAGGTACAGGGCAAAGAGCGTCTGGACATTGTGTATGTAGTCCGCCTGGGAGTCGAGGGGTCCCTCGATGCCGAACCTGTCGCACAGCACTCGCACATAGTCAGCCAGCGGCAGATGCTGCTGCAGGCAGGAGCGGTACGCCTCATCCAAAGCAGCCTTTGTCTCGCCATCGGCATAGGTGCGTGGCCAGTCCTCGAGCAGAGCGTCAATGTCCTTGCGCGGCTGGGCATCGTACATGGATTGGGTCATGTGCACCTGCTCCACCTCGCCGATCCACTTGTCAATGTCCTTGGGCGATCGCGCGACGGGCACCAAGGCAGCCGAGGCGGCGTGCCGCCGATTCCTACCCCGACTGCCACTCAACACGGCGCGGAGTTTCATGTTGAGCAGACTCGGCTCGCTCTGCGTGCCCGAAGGCTCGTCCAGCAGCCACAGACCCAGCCGCTCCAAGTGCTCGTCCAGCTCCCGCTGACGCTGTGGCTGGAGCAGCGGCGGAGCCTGCACCTTCAGCAGAGCATCCACATCGCCCACAGCGGGCACGAATTCCGGTATGAACGGCTGCAGGTGATACGGCGTCTCAATCGTCTGCGGCGTGTACTTCAGTATGTATGGGAATATGTCCTTGAGGTCCTGCTGCAGCGGCAGCTGTTCCCACTTGTCCGGCGTCAGATTGAAGGACGGCTCCTGTCGTTGGCCAGCGCCTGAGCCCGACCCTCCCTGGCCGGCACTGCGTCGCTGCTGCATGGGCAGCGCCAGCTTGTGATGCGGCAACTTGGTGCCCGGTCCTGGTCCTCCACCTACCGCTCCGCCGCCCAGTGTTGCCTCATCGCTGCCCGAACTCATTTGATCGTCCTGCACCGGCTGAGGCTTGGCATTGCGAGTGCTACCTGGTCGCGTTTGGGGCCTGGGGGCTGTCATGCCCATGGCCATGCCCATGCCCATGCCCATGCCATCGGGCAGTTGCATCTCGCTGTCATCATCGTCCTCGTCGCTGTCCTCGGCCTCGTCATCGTGATCAATGATGTCCTGCAGCAGACCATCGTCATCGTTGGAGTTGTTGCCCTGCAGCTGATTGGGGGGGGGGATTGGAAAGTGGATTCATGTTTAAGAGATGCGTTAGCTGAGGCGAGTAGCTGCGGTAGCTGGGGGGATATGTAATTGTGGAAATTATGGTGAGTCTGCGATTGAGAGGTAGGCAATAAAGAGAAGAAGTAGCCGTAGCACTAACATGGCAGGAATTGATGGAGTAAGGATGTACACAGTCCGCGATGCAAGGCTAATATATATAGTAAGATGAGCAACGCCCAAACAATTTTTTGGCACACGAAGCAAATTTAATGCGATAGAATAATACTTTTGGGGATCATATTCGCGCTATTTGGATTATAAGGAATATAATATTAATTGGATATGCAGAAACCAATGGACACATGGAACAACAAGGGAAAGGAGTGCAAGAAATGAAGCTAAAAATGATTCCTTGATGGTAGCGAGGAGTCTGAGGCATGTCTGTCTGGCTATCGAAACAAATCCAGCTTTAAATACACCTCACTAGCAGACAAGAAATGTGGGCATTGATAAACGGAAATGCAATGCGATACCTTCCCAAAATGAGGGGCAAAATGTGCAGCTAGAAACAAAGACAATTTTCAAGGTTTTATTGTTGTTGTTTTTATGAGTTTTCTTTTCCTAAATGTACTCTGCTTTGTCTCCTCCCTCTTGGGCAGAACAACTCCCATTTGGACAATGTGCCATTTAGGCCCCACTCATTACCCCAAGCACTCACCATTCTTCGATGCCTGCCCGCGGCTGCTCTTTGTCCACCTCTGCCTTCTGCTGCTGCTGCTGCTGCGGCTGCTGCTCCTGCACCACTGGCACCTCTTCTGGCAGCAACTGCCGCACCGAGTCGCGGCTCCATTTGAACGCTGCTCAGATGCTTGGAGTCGCCTCCGCTGCCGATTGTGATCTCCTCGTCGTAGTAGTTCATGGCCACAGCCGGTGCCGGTGCCGGTGTCGGTGCTCTGCCTCTGCTCCGCCTCTCGAGTAATTTTCTTGCACTTCTTGCCTGCCGCTTGGGTTTCCGCGGAATCCTCGCTGCACTTGCCTCACTGCATTGACAATTTTCCGCTCCTTGTGCAGGTGCAGAGTGTCCTGGCAGAGTCCTTCAAGTCCTCCTTTCTTCACGCTGGATTTTTTCGTTTATTGTGAATTTTCTTTTCTGTTTTCCTTTCTGCTTTGGCTTGCTGCTTACCTGAAAAACTTGTCAATTGCTTTGGCAGTGGGTTGTCTTGACAACGGCACCCCGTCCCTCCCCCCGCATCGTGTGGCAATACGTATAATTGTTTGCTGCCTGCAAAAACATTTACGGCCAAAACAGTTGCTCTTTGTTCTGGGCAGATACGATACCCGGGAACGGGCCTCCGCCTCTGCAGGTCTGGCTCGCTATCGGCTTTGGTTTTAATTACATGAAATATTTAAACCGATTTCCCATCATTTGCAGTCTTCAGGCATTTATATAGCCAGCGGCTACTGTTTCTCGGCCAGTTTATTGTCGGGTCTTGCATTAACGAAGCAGCCAACTGTTTCGGAATTTCAAAAAGGTTTTGTTAAAGGCTTAACCTCAGGAGGCTGCAATTAACAAGGAGGCGCCAGCTCCGATTCGAGGTATGTCCATCCAGATGAGGTGCCAGCTATAACAATTAGCAGTTCCAGATGAGTTGTTAAAGGAATATAGCCTGTCAGCCTGTCGCAGAAAAACATATGTGTGGTTTCCTGTGGTAGGTTTCCTTTCTTATTTCCGAAAGCGTGCTTGAAATATCCTTAAAAAATACTTCCCACGACCATAAACTGATAGCAAAGAGAGGGGTTTTGTTTCTTTGTTTAAGAGATTATTTTCCAAAGATAATAATCTGTAGAGGAACAACAACACACCGACGATAGTAGATATCTGAGCAGACTATAAGGATTAATTTAGAGTTCGAAGGAATGTTGCAAAGGAAATTTTAGGATAATTATGCCGAAATGACACATGGTACAAAACACACAGATAAAGCTAGAGTATTCATATCCATTGCCTTGCCAGATTCCATCAGAATATTCATACATTTGAGTCCAGTAAATCTCTGTACAATATGTATCCGTACATTTAGCAAAAATCTCTACTATTCAGTATTATCATCTGGATAACATTCCTAATTAACTACAAGGAAATTGAGGAATTCCCTCCCTATCAGCTACATACATATATCTGTATCGACAAGATTGCAACTCATATCGGCTAGCCAGAAACACTGATGGGTGAAACTGATGGGTGAAACAGTTTAAATTAAAATAAATGAATCAATTTTCTATAATATGGGCCTTTGTTAAAGATTATTTAGCATTATTTGTATTAATTATTAATATTGAATAAATTCTCTTACATTTTACATCCCCTTCATCGACGGCCATGTCACCCATTCACACGACTTACACTCAAACTCGCTCTTATTTTCGCTCTTGCTCACTCACACACTTGCAAAAGCGTCGTAGTTGAGAGAACCAGCACATGCACACACACTCCACTCAAATGCGAGAGACGTTGACAGTTAACATAGCTCACGCAACAGCGCTTGTTTTGCTAACATTTTTCGCTCTCAATTCGTGGGGGTTTTTCAAAATTTGCTCTCTTTTTAGAGGTGAAGAGAGCGTTTTTGTGGTGTGAGAAACATGTATTTGTATGGGAAAACATTCAGCAACATGGGGAAATGAAGAGGCAGCATTGCTGTGCAACTTTGGCCCGAAATGTGCAACAAGTCTGAATACCTAGGAAAAATGGATATTATGGACTTGAGATATTGTTTGTAATATCAGGTTCCAATTAATGCCAAAACTAGTCAGTCTCTTTTTTAGAGACATCAACGAAATTTTGTAGCTCACGGGCACCAATAATGGGTATCAGAACCGGGATAAATGTATTTAGAAAGCACAAAACATATGCATTAATAGGTATAACACATGTCAATCTAGGACAAAATCATAAATAATGTTTCAATGGAGCTTGGAACAAAACATTTAACACAAATTAAAAGATATAAGGTATACAAAGGTACATACGCATAGAAGAAACTTGGTTGACACACACACACGTACACACTTAACTTATATGCTTTGGCCGTTTTCGTTTGAACCTTATTATGTAAGCAATCCAATGAAAAAGAGTTCTGAAAACTAACCTATCCTGAACAAAATTTCTTGAGGAATTGGATAAAATTATTTGTTTAGGGCTGAGAGGGCCAACTAGCTAGTAATATTAAACGGAATATCAAAATCATGGAATACGATTTCCATCAATAAAATAGAACGTTAACCCATTGTCGACCAGGGGGTATTTAATATTTCCACGAAATTTATGTTACTTTAACATATTTTACGCATTACAGGTGAAAGATTACGGTGGTCATTTTTGTTTTGTAAGTTAAGAGGAGGATGGAGCTACAAGCAGCCTTTACAAACACTATTATTTTCCTCGGCTTATAAAAGGGTGCTCAACTATTTAAAAAGAGGGGTGTTAAGTGGGTTAAGGCTCGTTTGATCGCCGGTTGGAATTTTCTATCGTTATCGTAACGGTCGCAAACGGTTGTAAACAAACAAAATTTAAGCGAAGTTTTTGCTTTTCGTCTCATTCCGTTTTTGAATCTTGCGCTGTTCGGAACGTTTTGCCAGTCCAGTCGTTGCTCGGCGCTGCCCTGAGATAAAGACACATTCCCAAGTTTCGTATTTCGTGTGAGCGTAGTATCCGTGTGCGGTTGTTCCACGAGCATTGTTCAAGTGTGTGAGTGACCAGCAACAACCTGCAACAACAACAACAGCGTGCAACAAGAGCGTTTGCCACTAATTAAATGCTGAATGGTGTTTCTGTCAATTGAATCTGTACGATACGACTTTTGATTGAATTAAAATACAACAAATTACACAAAAAGTTAAAACAAAAGCAAAAGCAAAAAAAAAAAACAACAACAACAACAAACAAGCAGCAGCAGCAACACCATTTCCAATTAACGGTAATTAAGCCGGTGAGGTCGCGATAATTTTCCTCATTTTCCTGCTTGTGCGATAAAAGATTGTATTTTTGAAACACACAACACACTCTTTTTATTTCGGGGATAATTAAAACCGAGAGTGGAGTGGATTCGAGTGGAGTGTGCTGCGTGTGTGTCGCCCCTCCCACAGCCCACTAGTGCAAAAGGGAAACAATTTTCATTAAACCGGCGCTAAAAGGATTACTCACCCGTTCATCTTCATCAGGAGAAGGCTCCAAAAACCCTAGCACCGAAAAACGGTAAGTTTTTCAGAGGGCGACAGAATGGGGAAATGGGGAATTTAACCCACCCACACACACACACTTCCGCTGCGACACGTTTCGCGCCACGTTTTTGGGTCTTGCAACAGTTAAAAAGGGTTGAGCCGAGCTGAGTTGACCATCCATCCGGCTGGCAGGGTCAACATGCCATTGTTGAGGTTAAACTGTGCCCTGAGCCCTGCCGGAATTACAATCGCCCAGCCAGTGAATCCCCAGAATTCCGACCCCTCCAAACAATGAAACACACGCCAAACTTTTCGGCAATAAAACGAAATTGTTTTGAATTATTGAGATCTGAGAGTGAGTCGGGGAACGGAAACGGGGACGGGGAACCCTGTGTAACCGGATGGTCCTTTTCGGTGGGTGGGCGTTTCCTTTATGCCAATGCATGTATTTTATTTTTTTTAAATATAATTTATTTTTGGCCGAGCCGAACCGAACAGAGCCGAACCCAATCCCAACCGCTGGCGTCCCACGGAAAAGGACTCTTATAGGTGTCTGGGGGCATTAACAGTTAACATGTTTGCGGTACTTGATTGGTGCCAAGTCTTTTTATCAGCCCATAAAACGAAAGGGGGGCCACCAAGTGTGCCAGCAAGTGTCTGGTCTCTGGTCTCTGGTCTGCCACATTTTCGGGGCATATGTTTGCTCCCCGGGTTATGTGTGCGTTGGGTGGGGTGTGGCCTAAGGGGGTGGAGCGCCTTGAGTGGGGTTTTCGCAAATTGGAGAAAGGTTTTACAGAGTTCAACGGAGTAACGACCAGTTTATCAATTCTGTATGGGCGCTGCCTTGGTCGCAGACCCGATAAGACTTTTATTTTATGTAAATGCAAAATCGTTTCGGTTCAATGCACTAAAAAAACAAAACAAAAAAACAACAATGTAGGAGATATACACACTCCTCAAGGAGAAGAGATACTGTTCGGGGGGAGTGTTATTGAACTGACAAATGGATTGGTGATGGGACGAAAGAGTTGAAAGGAAGGAAACCTTCTGGGAAGAATTCTGTAATTGAGTCTTAGAGTTGCAATTCGAAACGATAATTGAATAATTCTTGTTCTGAATCCACAAATTCTAATCTCTGAATTCTTTCACTTTCTTAGCTTAGTCATGAAATTCTGCATGACAAATCGCTAATCAAATTAAAATTTGTTATTGTTTCACATTTTTGCATTTAATTCTTAGAATTTCTTGTTTAGTCTAGCCAAAGTTTGCCATACCATTCAGCTTAAAGTAAACCAATCATATAATAATATCAAATTACAAACCAAGCAGCCTTTCCAACCTCTTTATAACCTCTTCAGAAACAATCCACTAAAACACCATCAATATACACATTAGGGCCCTTCAATTTGCCAACAAAAACCCAAGACAATTGCAAGCTGCCAACAAATATTGAGACTCATTTACTGGCAGACTCAGGAGCATCTAGTTTATGGTCCATGGAGGTCTGCAGCTCTGTGGTTATTAGCCAGGCCCATTCAGAGTCAGCAGCTAGCATTCGAGCGCCCTGCGTGGCTAATTAATTTCCATTCAACTAAATGGAAATACGTAAACCATAGAATGCCGCAAATTAATTTCCAGACTGAATGAGATGGAAACAGAGTTGAGGTGTGGGCTGGGCTGGGCTGGACTGGGAAAAAGACAGACAGATGCTGAACAGACGGCAGCAGTCAGAACTGCCAGGAGTTATGGCAAACAGTGTGTTGCGAAAGTATCCACATATAATTGTGTGTGGTACACTTAATAGGGAATGTTCAGGCTCAGTGTTTGGGTTCCTATTTTTGGGTTCATATTTTTGTGATTTAATTTCTTCTTTATTGGAAGCTTGGAGGGTATCAATAAACCCCAAAACAAACCATAATTCAAGTCAAGTAGCTTGATAACAGAACTACGTTAATTCGACAGCTGCACTTAGACGGGAATTTATTTTAGTTGTATTTTTAGTACCGCTAGGATACCGGTATACTGTTGGAAATACTTGACTTAGCCATAATTATGCTGTGAATAGTTTTGAAGAATTTTTTGGTAGTTGAATAAATACCTAAAATATTATTTAAGATCTGCGATCATGAGTTAGAAATTCTTTCTGCATTCCACACGCTAGAAATCTCCATGAACAATCCATAATTTAAATTAATTTGCATTAACCATATCTGGAATTTTAAGAGTATATAAAAAATGGAACTCCTATGAGAGAACCTCTTCAGTATTTCATTTTATTATTTTTTCTTTAATAAATATTATTCTGGGAGTAATATGCTGCAAAGATCTATCAAATGATCATTGCCTATACTTCTATAACACACTGTGCAGTGTACACACTTTATTAGATTTATCTGCGGGTAATATAAATTCCTTAACGTCTCTCTGTCTCCCCTCCTGTCGTCCATTTTTATTTGTGGTCAGGCTATTTCGGTTTATTGTAATTTTTGATGGTCCAGTGGCAGCTATGGTTGGGCTTGTTATTTGGCTTCATAACTAGCGAAGACTAGCGACGACTGGCGACGACTTTGACCCACAATTTACTCGTGTATATAATATACTAAGTGTACATAGATAGACAATGTACAAATGTGTAAGTGATTCTATTGTTCCGCTTGTACTTTGGAACATTTCCCAAGGCCCGAAAGCAGACAGACACACTTTCGCTTTTCATTGTTTCTGTGTGTCTGTTGGGGGGCCTTTGCTCGCCTTTTTTTTGTGTGCCCCGCTAAAGGAAATAAAGGAAAAGGCAGGGAAAATGTTTGCTTATCTCTTTGCCTACACATTTTTATGTGTGTTTTGCTTTGTTTTGTTGGCGATGGGTGTCGAGGCTTGAGAGGATTCCGCTCTTTTCCGGATAATCATCAGCATGCACGGCCAGGCACCAGCCTTCATTTTCCATTCTCCATCCTTCTGCCGCATGCTGCCACATGGCTCCCCCAGCAAATTACCACCAAGTTCAGGCGAAAGCGAAAGCAGATGGAAACTCTGCTCGGGGGGGGGGGTCACCGTAGACCATAAAAATGGAAAACTGTTCTACAGTTGAATGAAACTTTGTCGTAGGCAGCAGACTTCCACTTCAACTTCCACTTCGTCTTCGAATTATGGCAGATTGGTTTTTATTTAAATTAGTTTTAGATTCCTTTTGGGCTTGCCTCAATGCTCACTGAACTGTTAAAACAGAGACGGGCAAAAAGATACAAAAATTGATTTTCACTCACTCACTCCCCTTAGTAGCTCCCCTTTTATGGCCAACTCAGCTTGTCCCTTAACCAAAAAAAACAAGTTCCTAAGAAATGTGTCCCGCTCTGCCCCGGCGTTGAATAAATAAAATAAATAAACAAAATATACCACGAATCAGATTTCAGTCGCCCTCCGCCCCACCCCTCTACTACGAGTATCGATGACAAATTGCACATAATTTTTGCCGTCTGCTGAGCAAATGTTTTTTCGAGAAACTCTTTTGGTGGCAGCGGCACCAAATCCGGCACGGTTTGTGGATTTCTTATTTATTTATTTGTCTATCTATCCAAAGTGTCGGAACAGGCTCTGCCCTTGTCACAAGAAACTGCTAAAAAGTAATAACGACAGTTTATTAAATGCCAATTGAGATCCATTTCAGTGATATGAGAGAAGGGATATACCGTCCTCATGCCCAACCCCATCCCATGCCACCCATCATGCATGTTGGCAAAACTTTTTGCCAAAAAAAGAAAACAAAACTCTTGATTGTTGGGCAAAGAAACTTTTGCTGTTAACCTTTTCGGTTGACCTGAAGCCTCAACTGCTCTTCCTCATCAGCATAATCCCCCCAGGGGGAGGGGCGCCAAAACAAACTTTCCCAAGAGCCCAAAAGAGAGAGAGAGAGACAGAGAGATGCCCCCTCGGTTATTCGTTGTATCATTTATCACAACTTGCACTCTGAAAATATCGTTTTACAAGGCAAAGGCACAGGCAAAGCCAAAAGAAAAGTGAAATGAATTATGTGGAAGGCGATGAAGTTATCAGCGAGCTATCATTGCCCATAGAGGCGGAAGGTGTTTGGCTTGTCAATGAGATTGATTATTCAAATGAAGGGCGGGGGCATAGAGGCGCCAACTTTTGTTGAGGGGCTGCTGGCTGTTGGCCAAACAAATGGCAATTAATAATGAATGAATTTTCAAAGTGTTTGCTGAGGGTGCAGCAGGCATGCAGAGGGAGAGAAGGTGTTATGAAATTTACTAACTAAAAAATGTTTAAATGTGTTGAAAGTTGTAGATGGGAAGATGGGTTATGGGAGCAGCTGGTGTGATCTTAAATGAAAGCAACAAATAGGGAGCAGTGGCAAGATTCCTTGGGAATCAGCACAGGACTTCAAGCAAGAACAAAATCAAACTATTCTGCGTCAAATTAGTATAAATTTCTCTTTCCAAAACTCATTTAAATCATTGCTAAGCCCAAGTAGATCAAAACACCATCAATTCCCGTTCAAAACTAAACCACTCTTTCGCACAATTCACCAGCGGAAAAAACGCGAAAAAACACGCTGAAAAATAAGACAATCTCCTGCCAGAGCAATCCCAAATGATACGTATAGTTTGTTGCCTAAAGTTAGCTTTTTTCTCGAGTCTGCAACTTGTTAATAAGCAATTTCTAAGCAAAGTTTTTTGTTTTGTTGTTGTGTCTTTTGATTGTTATGTCTCCACCATTCATTCCACTTTATCATATCTCTCTTTCACTGCCTGTCATTCTCTGGCATTCCAATAAACAGTTTTTGGTTGGCCTTTTTTTATTCTGTGCTGTGCTGTACGGTTCGGTTATGTTCTTTTTTGTTCTTTATTCTTTCACAAGCATGGTTGGTGGTATTATTATGGTGGGTGACCCATTTTGTGCGGCATATTAAGTGTGATTTCCAATTACCAAATTACTGACCTCAAATGTGATTACTAAACATGCTGCTATGTATAACCACTACATGCTGGATTTTATGTACATATATAGGAAATTGCTTTATCA